TTCAGAGATTACCACATCCTTTGGGGCTGCAAGTTAGATGCTCTGCATAAATAATCTGGAAAGGTTTCCAGATTCATCATGAAATGTCAGGAATACAACACTGGCTCTGCCGGGTTCCTCATTATGCAGCAAGGAGAACAAGAATTAAAAAATTTGGCACATGACCATGGCTTGATTTGAAATTACCTGTCTGAGTCAGTTCAGTGCTGGTGAGAAGCTTGACAGATGGAGGAAGAACTAAACTCTCCTCACTCTGTTCTCCAACAACTGCTACCTAAGCAGCCTGGATACCCTGCAGTTTGCTACTTCTGTTTTTTGGAGTGCAGCCACGTGAAACTGTGTTTACTGGCAAAACAAGCGAATAAATTTGGCTGATTACTCAGAGGGGATACCACAATATAAATCAAAGCAAAATTAAAAACTTTCAAAACCCCTTCTTGCCCTGACAATACTATAGATCTGCAATACTATTAACTGAGGCATTGCTATATTTTCCATCTCCCAGGAACTTCTATTTTTGTGTCTGTTTGTGAAGGAGCTGAAGATATGGTGGGTAATTTTTACCTAATATCACTATCCAGAGTTCCTACACAGTTTGTGTATAGTAAGAGTCAAACCCTCCTGGTCTTACTCATAAAAATGTTTCTTAGGGAGATGCCTCCTGTGAATCAAGTGAGTAGGATTTATAATTGGAGGACTGCAATAAAGATATCAATAGATGCAGCAGGTTGATTCATCTGACAGTTTATTATAATAGATCATTTAATCTTACCACCCTGCTGGGTGAACTTAAGCTTATACTGCTTTATGGATTTTTTGTTGTTTAGCTCACAGCGTAAAAAGCTACAATACTTGCAGTTTCTCAGATGTCTTTAGACTCTGACCGATCCATTAAATCTCCTATTTTACATTTATTAAACAAAAGGAGAAAATTAAATATTAGCAAGCAATCCTCAGTGGAGGTGGAGAATGAGTAGGAGGCATATTGTTAAAGAAGTGTATGTGTCAATGGCATGCAGGCAGGTTGCTCTCTTTGCTAGAAACAGTCCCTATTGCCTTCTCTAGCCTGGGTGAGCACTATATGCAGCCCCTCTTCTGTAGCTGGTGGTTTAATACAATAAAATTGTTCTCTGCTATTTCTCCAAGTTCTTTCCTAGGCTCCCCCACTCTTTTCAGTTGCTTTGCAGCTCTCTGTGGCACTCCTCCCACAGCCTAATCTTTTGATATGGCTGATTGGATATTTCTCTGCAGAATATTCTGTCTTCTTTTTCTGCATCAAGAAAGGAAATTTTCACCAAAATGGCTTTTTTTTTTTCTTTTCAAACGGAAAACGGTCTCAAAACTAAATATATTTAGACAGCTGAATTATTTTTGTTGTGCATACCAAACAGAAACATTCTGCTTTGGATCAATTTCACATTAATTTGTCTTCCCCTGAGCTCCCACGCAGAAGCTGTGGCTCAGGTACCTTCAGCTTGCAAGATATGTTATCCCCTATGGGCTGCAGTCCCAGAGCCTTTGCACATAACAGCATCAGCTGTGGTGATGCTGTTATCTAGGCCCCTAGATAAGCCCCCAAACATGAAATTGCAGAGACCTATGAATAAATAATCTAATGGCAATGAGAGAGTCAGCATTTCTTCTAGTCTCAGAACAGAATGAAGCCACTGGCTTCACACTTGCATTGCCTGAAAATTATTAGGGTGTAGCATATGGCTTCCCTTGGCCCTGAGCAACTGCACATAGGAGAAGAAATCTGTTGAGAAGCCACCAAAATGTTTTTTACTTAAGCATATACAGAGAAAAAGGGAGTAAGGGTGGTCTAAGGTGCAACTGTTTGGGTTGAGCTACCAAACACATCAGGGTGAGTAAGGGGATTTTTCTTGCATATATAAGCTCCAAGAAAGAAACTGGTGCTGTAAGGAGACAGGAAAGGTCAAAGTGTGGAAATCCTGGTGTGGGAGGAAGTGATTTTGAAATGGCTGTTTTACAGGAACTCAGATTACTAGCTATGCCAAGCACCTAGACTGACTCCCCCTGGATAGATGGGTCTTTTCAGTCTCAGCCAGGCAATTATAGTCCTGGCATCTTGGGTAGTCCCTGAGCTCAAGAAGATTTATTGGTTTTACAGCAAAGTGAACTGAGTAAGATGATAACTTTTACAAATAGACCCAAGAAAGGTTGCAAAACTTTCTGGACAAATTTAAATGTAAAATAACATTGTAGAAACAATGTATTAGGTAATTCAATACATGTGATCCATAGTCAGATATGTATTACAATTTAATTTTAACCTGGAGAATTTACCTATGTGAGAGAACATTTAATTAAAATGTACTTTAATTTAATTAATTTACTTTATTTTAATTTACTGTTTTATTGCAGTGTACAAATGGTGAGGTTTCCATACCGTGTACATATCTGCCAAAAGGCACAAGACCTAACAGGATAGTCAAGTAACTACAGGTCACAGTATATGCCTCATGGGAAATGGGTTTATTGAAATAATTGCAAAGATCCTCTCTAAATCAGGGGCCTTGGGTTAAAAATTAAAAATTCCTAACTTCCTTAAAACATTTATTATATCTTTTTGCATGCTTCTAAGCATTTCAGTGCATACTGAGCATACAATATTGCTCCACTTTTATATCCAATCCTATCTTTTGTGAGGAAAAATCACAGTACACATGCATGCTTATCTCCCACAAACACAATCCACAGGTTGTAAAAGGAGTCTTGTATCCCTTGGGGGATGTTAAACATTAATAATATTAGGGATAAGCAAACAAAGACAGTGTCCTTGTTGGATTTATACGCATGTAGTACTGAATGAAGTGAAGGCTCAAGAGACCTTAAGAAAGCCTGAATAAGTGGTTCTTCAAAACAGAATGTGTTGATTTGGGCTAAAGTAGAGTTAACTTTCTTCACAGTGGCTAGTATGGGGCTATGTTTGGGTTTTGTGCTGAACACAGAGTTGATAATGCAGAGATGTTTTTGTTATTGCTGAGCGGAGCTTGCACGGAGTCAAGGCCTTTGCTGCTTTCTGTACTGCCACACTGGCAAGGGAGTTGGGGATGCATGGGAGATTGGGAGGAGACACAGCTGGGACAGGTGACCCCAACTGACCAAAGGGATATTCCATACCATATGACATCATTCTCAGTATATAAGGTGGGAGGAAGAAGGAGGAAGGGGGAACATCTGGAGTGATGGTGTTTGTCTTCCCAAGGAACCGTTACGCGTGATGGGCCCTGCTCTGCTGGAGATGGCTGAACACCTCCTGTCTGTGGGAAGCAGTGAATTAAGTCCTCGTTTTGCTTTGCTTGTGTGTGCAGCTTTTGCTTTCCCTGTTAAAATGTCTATCTCAACCCATGACCTTTTTTAGCTTTTACCCTTCTAATTCTCTCCCCCATCCTGTTGGTGGGGGAGTGTGTGAGTGGCTGCATGGGGCTTGGTTGCTGGCTAGGGTTAAACCACGACACCAAAAAAAGTGAAGCCAGCTGGAAGCATAATAAATAGTCACTCATATGACTTAGCCTCTACATCCAACACAATGTTGCTTAGTGAATACATATATCAAAACACACCCAGAAAAACCATAAAACTAGACTGAAGTTGGGAAGAATTAATATATATTTGACCTTGCATGTGACCACGTTGTGCTTTGAACAATGTCATTTAATTGCATTAATTTGCTCTCCAGATCAACATATTCTGTTCAACATCTTTGTCAGCGACATGGACAGTGGATTGAGTGCTCCCTCAGCAAGTTCACTGACCACACCAAGTGTGTTGGGTAGTCACAGCTGGAGGGGAGGGATGGG